CAAGGCCTCAGTAGAAAGTGCACAACATGAAATACAAGACGATTACCTAGAACAAACTTCACAATGTTGATGGCCTATTTGATTGATGCAGCGTGATATGGAGGTCAGTAGCAATCGGTATTTGTAATTATTAAGGTACAAATAAGGTGTCCAGCAGTTCAAGGTCATCACTTCTATGACATCTTCCACCAAAAAAAATCACTTCAAGCGTATAGTCACTAGAGACGTACAGTCACCAGAGGCGAGATGAGGTGAAGGGAAAGCGGTTGTTCTATCGCCTTTAGAAATTAGGATCATGTTGCTTGTACTTCATCATGGTGTTTCCTGATGAATTTTTGAATACCACATCTTTCAAAATCTCTATCCACTAACATAATATATATCAAACATATTTCAAATTACTGCAGTGTAGTTATCTATTCTATATATTACACAACACGATTATTTTAACACTTGTGTTTTCAATGTGTTCAGCATGACAATACATTGCACGTCACACCATTTATCATGGACAATTGCGAATGCTGTTGTAAAACGTCTGCAGGTATACAACATGTGTCATTGTAGCTTGACCTGCAATTTAAACCTTAACGTAAATTCAATTGCATTAGAAAGGAAATTTTGATTCAAGATGAAAGAACTGAAGACGTCTCTCCTCAGTCATTGGAACTTTGTTGGCATCAAAATGGCGTGATTGAATGTATGCTGTTGGGGTTGTTGTATAGATTATGATTACTCGCTATCCCTTCAGTATAGTATGCGACGTCCTTAAATCAAAATCATTGACCCAGTAATACAATTCTTAAGATGACATAACTAAAAGTCAATTATCTTAATCTAGGTTGCACCAGTAACATTCGTAACAAATTATTTGTATCATGTTTTAAAAAGTTCAAGAATTTTAGTTTCGCTTTAAGCTCAAGTAATTGTAACTCTTTGGAATGTTTTGGATGTCTTAATATTCATTTCAAACGAGGGTTTGACATCGAAGATTCCATTTCAAACTAAATGCTCATTAAATCTTCACCAACAGTAATTAACGTTCGTTCACCAATGCCTAATTAATTGCTCTCTCCGATAATGGATGCTTGCGGTTGACGGTTTTCTAACACGATATGTACAGCAGAACAAATGCAAGCTAACAAAAGAAAGATTTCCAAGATGACATTTAAGGGCCATCTCAAAATTTCGACATTAAACGTGTACTGTACTGAAAGCATATAAGCCTAATAGACGACCCTTTTGAGATGAGTGTCTTGCAATTAAATACAACAAATCATCATGAGACGTTGTACTTTGTACCAAGTATTTCTTGTCATTACTTTGTCACGATGTGATTTTCCACGGAGTTATGGGGGTGCAAAATGTATCACGTGATTTGTTTAAAGATTAAACACCTCACACACAATTGTAGCAATGGCGTGTTATTTGTGTCATATGACTGCAATCACGTGTGAAACTTTCAAGATTTGACAATTTGTTACTTAACGAGTTGTACTGGTTTTGAACTAGCAGCAAAATTCCATATAATTATACAATGTGGAATATGAGTGCTAATTGATCAATTCGAGCGCGAAACAATTGTTATGTTTTTTTGTTTTGTTTTTGTACTTCTGTGTCATTCCTTTGTCCGGTACTTGCCACGGCACCTATTTTGACATGTGAATATTTACTTGTGAATGAAATGAAGTTTTATGTCATGCAATCATGCAATCATGAAACACCATTAACTCATCAAATATTTAACTGAAATTCAATTCTGATGATGGCTATTTTAAGACAAGCAATTTCAACCTGTCTCTTTTTCCTCCAAACTTACACAATGTAATTACGTCATTTCCGAGAGGTTAACAAATTCTGATTGGTTGGAATTTCTTTAAATGAATTATGTTTACTGTCACTTGTTGTACTTCTGTGCAGTTCAAGCAAAGTACATGAGGTGACTCTGGCATGTTTTGTCCTTATCCTGACAAAACCCAGATGCCTGTACACAATTTGTCCTTATAGAGTATAACCCATTGATATGTTGTTTCTAGATATAACGTTTGTGTATTTCCAGGAGACAAACTTACATTTTTTGTGGCATTGCAATGATGGTGAGAGTTATCTTGACTTGCCACTATGTATGTTACATTTTCTTCACTGCTCATTCAGTTTCTATAAATATTTATAAGGTCATACGACAGGCAAGTATTTTACATATGTTATGTATGTTTGCAGTCTTGGGATAGTTAAGACTACGGCAGAGGTAAATAAAAAAGTAAAGGTGGGGTGAGGGAACGGGAAAGAAGGAAATAAAAAAGAGAGAACAGACAGACACACAAACGGAGATGCTCAAACACTCATTTCTTAGATCAAATATTTGATATTGCCATCTTCGGATATTGACGCCAAGCCAGGATCTAGCTCCCATTTGAATGAGTATCAATTATCTTTTTTATTTTTATCATTTATTTTTTTATTTTTCTAACCCGCGACACTACATATTGTATAGAACAAGTCACATAGGAAAAGCTGATATTCTTTATTGGTAAAATCAAGTTTGATAATCAGGAACGAGAAAGACAGACTCATTCCATACATCTCCCAGGCATGCGGCATGTCTGACTTGAGTGATGGGAACGGGGTTCTCTGAAGACAGTATTGATTGGAATACACTTTAGATCCACAGGAGGCTTGCTTAATTACTCGACCTTGTGGTATACATGCGACATCGAAATCTTTTATGAATATTTCATCTTGAGACACAATATACACACATCATACTCCTATATTAAACATGCTGTCTCATTTGCACTAAATAACTACTGGGAATTATGATAGTGTTCGCTCTTGTTGGAAAATGTATACTAAAGGAAGACTGTTTGTTAAACAAGAACGGCAATACTGGGGTGTTTCAAAAGTGTTTTAACGTCTTTTATTTCAACACCATGAATGAAGAGTGACATATTGTCTTGGTATGGGTCCTTCTGGTTCAGGTTCTAGTATTTTTCCAGGTAATGACTACAAAACGTTGACTTTCCGTCGTGCATTGCACTGTCGAAAGGTCCCTGTGATCTTGACCTTGATATCAGAGATCTAATAGATGTTTTCCAATTATTTCCTGACCTAGCGATAACTTTCCAATAGTTAATGAAAGCTGTTGTAGATCTTTACCATTCACAGACAAAATTTTGTGTTTTTTTTAACTGAATCATCTGAGTATTTGTTTTATTTTGCACAATATTAAGCATATGTATGTGTATACTATAGTTATCAAAACAAAATCGATTTCTAGTTTAAACTGACGTTTTTAGGAGAACTTCTACACTCAATTTCAATTGTATCCTGTTGCAGAATACCACATAAAAGTAAAAGGATCAACAGGAGTAACACATGAAATAATGAAGTTTAACAACAGAATCACATTAAACTTTGAAAATGTAAACGGTGAGGTTAAATCATTTTATGAGTCAAACAATAAGGTCTTTGGTCTTGCAGTATATACAAATTGGTATGGAAATCTTGGTGGCATTGTATGTATCATTGTTGATATTGTAGATAAATAATATCTGTGCTATTACAGTCACATATGTTTCTGTTACTGTTCAGATTTCAAACTCCGGTGTCTATTCGCTTTTTCACATACTCTCCATATACTTAATTAGGGAGGATATGCTGATCTTTTGCTGTTCGAATGCTCTACGAACACGCGGTATTAGATTACGATGTTTAAACTGATTAACTGTCAATGTTTTGAAGATACATCGATATATTGTTTCGTTCTCAATGGGTCGAATTTCCTGTAATGCTTGTTGCACACATTTCGTAAATGACATGCTTCCGTTTTTAAAACGACATCACGTTAAAACGATTTATAAACGATTTTTATTTTATCATTGCACTTATACATCAAATGTTACCTCTTGTGTGAACAATGAAGATTTTCATTGAAACATGCACATAAAGTAGTTAATTGATATTTTCAAAAAGGAAATCCTCTCACTGTACACGGTATTATATAGTTCTAACCTCAATCCATGTCTAGAGAGAAATCTAGATAGCTTTCTACACAGAAAAGGCATATTAATTAATTTTTATTTCTTTTCAATTTTACAGAAAATAAAGTCATCACATTGTTTTAGAGCTTCGGATGAAAATTATCGCAACATATGTTAGCAAAAATCGATAATAGTATCAACAACAAAAATGATTAATAACAAATGGATTATATATATAAAGATATGTTGTTTTGTATTTGTTTGTTTGCTTGTTTTTTGGTTTGTTTTTGTTTTTTTGTTTGGTTGGGGGAGGGGGTTCATCCTGATGAGTAATTTATAACAGCGGCTATCATTGCCAGCTATAGCAATTGAAATTCATTAAACAGTTTTCCAAACATTTTCTTTCCTATAATTAAGATATCTTCATACCATTTCTGCTCCACCATTCAGTTATACATGTTTATTTGTCGTTTTGAATTTCAATCATACATTTGGTCAGATTCTCAAGAATATCTATTCTGTGTTGAGTGATTTTTTGTGTGTATGAGAAGGTTGGGGGTGGGGTAGTTTTGCTGATTTCATTGATACTACTGTGTTAATTTCATTGGTACTAATGATCTATAAATTCATATTTGACCTTTTTGATATTAACGATATTTCAAGTGTTATTGTTTTAGAAACAAGCTCACTTATCCCACATAAATTTATCATGTTACAGTATGTCACTTCAGACATATGTAGTCATATATATACATTTCGTAAATAGTTTGCAGTAGTAACTGTTGGATTTATGGTGTATATCTATATCTGTTAAGCTTTCAGTTGTTGTTTCATATTCAACTTGCGCTGTACTTTTTATATAGAAATATCAATTCGTAACATCTTCATTAATATCAACCAATTTAATTATATTTACAGCGCACGAGCTGTTGCCAATTGTGATGAGATTGAAACATAAAAACGCCACGTGAGCACTTATTTACGCAGAATTCTGATGGCAGACGTCGTTGTTTATCGAATATGGCTGTATCATACACGAAGTTGATAAAGAAACCAAATAGTAAATGTTCAAGGTGGAAGAAGAAAGCAGTAAAACGTAACAATCACACAATTTTTTTTCTTTTTTTTACATCTGTTTTCGATGTTTACCTCAGCACAGATTGGATATTATTCACCAAGTATTTTCTACGTTTATAATAGGAGATTTTTAATGAAACTCGTAATGCAAGAAAAGTATTGTTCTTTTTTGTAATTTGTCGTTGTTTTTCAACTTGTTACCATCCTGTACATACATTATACATTTCCTAATCTGTTGTTGGATACATTTTGAGCATTGATGTATAAATGTAGTGACGTTGTAAGTTTACAGGGTATGTGGATTTGTAGAGAAAGTAGTGAACAATATTGTCTCGTTTTATTAGGGAGAGATACTGCTGCAGTAATGTAAAAACTATAATAGAACATAAAGACAAATCTATAAATGAATATAAAGATATCGATGTATTGTCCGAGACCATTAGACAAATCTTAACATCAATGCGTCTTGGTGACTCAGATGAAGTGGATGAGATTCAGTAGTTACCGGAACCAAAGCCGAATACGGAACATAGAGTCAGTTTGGATAGTTTCTATTTATATCTTTTCTATGTTCATTCTTTCATCAACTTCGATATCATGCAAGATAACATTGACACATTTTGAGCAGAAACACAATACGTTCACAGATTTCCTTTGGAACATCATAGTGACAAACAGGAAGTTCAATCGTGTTAAATGCACCAATAAGTAATTGTGTTTATTATGCAATGAGATTGGATCATGCTACGTAGCTCAACACCTTTTCATGGCTCTGTGTGATAAGTAATACATTAAGCCTTCAATCTATCACATTAAACACTAAGCCTTTGGCATTTCCATTCCTGAAATGCAAGACCATCAGAGAAAAAGACATTTATTTACGAGCGTGTGCATTTCGATAACACTGACTTCAAAAAGATAACACCTCGTCTTCTTTCTACCTCTTTGTTGCTTCATGCATTATTTTTACTCCTGTTTCTCGTTGAATACTAGTCATATAAAAAGAGAAGGAATCTAGTATTTGATTGATATGTGTAACGGCATATCATCGCCTACGAAAATTGCAAGCGCCATATTTCAATAGGTTACACTTTGATCATGAAAATTAAATTGCAAAATGATTTACAAATGTTTGTGCACCATTAGTTTATCATTTGATTTAGGCGCATTCTACGATCGTGATCAATATTCATTTAGCTGAAACTTCTATGCAGTACATTATCTTGTTTATTACTCAATACAATTCACAAAACATTCCAATTATTTCTTAAAGTACTTTGTAAATTATAAAAAAAACCTTAAATTTTCAAAAGAAAGGTATTTTTTCATCAAAAAGAGCACATTCTATCGCATTGTGCTAGCCAGTGTAAGCATTAGCAAAGCATATTTTTTATCTCTGCTTTCTAATTGAAATCTCACGTTTATTCGATCATTGTTATTGTTTTGTCAAATATGAGCTGAACTGCCTCTATAATGCTGATATGCTTGTCAATGCACTAATGAACAGCGGAATTACTTCACTTATTCAATTTAATCTTAAATATGATAAACGTAGGAAGTTTCTATGTATATAGATCTCCTCAATTGTAATGAACATTAATGCAGGTTGTCAATTAAATCCAAATCTTTAATTCATACTGACTTTTTCAAAAACGTTTGATTAAGTCAGTAATGACCTCCAGCTTCTCATGTGGTTTTCAAGCCGTAGGAATCTTAAATTGCAGAGAGTTTAAGTGGATGGGATGTCCTCTACTTGGTTTGACGTCAAGCAGATGTCCGACAAAGTCTCAACAATTTTTAGGTCATCTGACCCGAATGATCTAGATGATCTATAACCATCGTGCTTCGTCCATTGTCGTGCGTCGTTTGTAATCTTTTACTTTGATACACTACACCTCATTCAAACCTTGGTGGATTTCATCCAATTCAGTCTGATGCATTATTTGTGTGAGGGTTATTTTTTGTTAAATTCTGAATTTTGATTCGGTCCCCTAGCGGTCGAGGGATGAGGCCCCAAAGGTGTAGGTGCTGAAATTATCTTTAAAACCCTACTTCTCCTTTCTGCCACTCTTGATTTCAACAAGATTTGGCTTGATTTGTCATTAAAATTAGGCAATTATTTCATTAATTCAAAAAATTGTTTCCATTCTAAGTGACTGGGATAGGGGCTCAAAAAGGGCAACATTTTGCTTCAAAACGCTACTCCTTCTTAATGCATGCAACCAAAGTGGGTCTGAAACATTAATGCAAGTGTGTTATCATTTCCTAGATTTAGAAAGTTGATTTGATCCTTTAGAACGTGGAGGCAGTGGGACTCGTAATGGGGGAGTTAGACAATATTGTGCCATAAAATGCTACTATATCTTAATGCTTGAATGAATTTCAACCAAAGTTGGTTTGGAACATCATCTCAAGTTTCATTCACACCATTGACAACAACCTTTGGAGTTTGATTTGTTGAAGAAAAGAAAGAGATGATATGTCGTAATTTTAGCTGATCAAAACTTCAACCACAGTTCCCATTTTGTATCATGATCGCGCAACTATATTTCATTTATAGAAATGACCAATTATGAGTTCAAAATTCAAATTGGTCACATTTGTCAGACCGCCATCTGCAATTTCTGTGGTTTGTGGTTCCATTCATTGATTGTCAGATGACCGTTAAGGGCGATGTCTCTCTTGCTTTTTTCTAACTTTCAGTAACTTTTTATTGACTGTTGTAGATATTTTCATTCAAAATTTCTGTTTGCCAAGTATTCACTACACAGTTATTTAACATGAGAAAGTAATGTTTTACTTCCTCATTGTTTGCATCTTAATTATAGGTCGATAATTTTTAACGTTTTAACTGGTTATTTTAGCACTTGATATGTTTGATTCTTCATATCTCGTATATGTGACGTGAAATTTTAACAATTTTTTGTAGTTGCGGCAAAATCATCCTACCGTACGTAATGCGCTTTTTATACACAAACGCGTTTGTTTTTGTCGCATATATTGATGTTTGATTCACTTGTTTTAGAAACCTTGATACATGAAGCACTATTTTGGTCAACAGAGGCAAAAATGTTATTTTCCCTTTGTAGAGTTTATTGTCCATTTTGTGTTAAATGTTAAGTTCTACATGTAATTAGCGTTCTGCAATATTCGGAATATGCAATATGTCAGTGGACTCCCAACCATTAATACATACCCTGTAATCTGTTTAGTAAGTGATTTCGACATTTAAACAAATGAAAATTTACACAAAATCTTTTTAAAAAACTTGCATTATAAGACCAGGTGTTCCGGAGAGAAGCGTCTTCGGTTTGATTGACATTATTCGACTTACAAATCACATACAATTTTAGTGATCTTATGTTCTCAAAATCTGTACCGGATTATTGACAACAATTATAAATTGGTTTGGAATTAGAGAAAGTATATGAAGAACAAATATACATACAAGCGAAACGTGAATGAGGCGTTATACGGTTAATGGGAATGAAGAGTAAGACGTCTTCTGATGCCGACATGCTAACGGACACTTACTGTTGAAGCACGATGGAGAGAAGATAACACACAATGCTCGGGCCTTCGGGAAATGCACAATCTCGTAGTTCTATCTTAACGGCAGCGGATATGAATAAGGTGGGCGAGACGGTCTGCTGTTCTCGAGTGTATATAACGTTATCGTTCGGTGGTAGTGAAATGCTTGCGGGTTTTTGTCATGTAAATGGACAATTTTAAAATTGTGTTACATAATAATGGTATAATGAAATAGCATGAAGGATTTGCATGCAATCAATGTGATTTTATGGTCGATTTTCAGTTATTCAAATGATTAAACATTGTAATAAAAGTGAAGCACTAAACAAAAAAAAACTTTTTGCTTCAAAAAACGCAAAAGGATTGACAAATCGAACGAAATCTGCTGTACATTTTGCATTTCAATGCGTAGAATCATCTCATATAAGATTACAGAAATGAGTCATTGGACCCACGTTATGACGTTCCTTATATTGTATTCAATTCATACTGTCTGTTTTTTTCCTGGATTTTTTTCTCTTCCGAATGCTTTAAATTCTTTCGTATTCCATTATTTTACAAAACCAATTAATCCTCATCCTTTTACTACCAGATTAAATTCTTGCACCATACTTTAAATTTACACTTAAACATGATGTTTGTAATTCTAAAGGCTTTTTGATATACCATAATGGCAATAAAATTATCAATCGAAGTTCGGCTACGAAGCTTCGTTTGCCAAAATCATGGAAAATCTGTTATAAACTTTTCATAGTAAATAACCTGCTTTGCTGCATCTTCAGCGGTATGCTTCCTCTAGATTATATGGGATTTATGAAACAAGAAATTTATTTTCATTTTGAAAATTCCTCGACAGTGTTATAAATTCCTATATGAAATGTAAGAAGCTTTTCTCTTCAAGCTATTTCCCTTGCTTTGACACAATGAAATGAAATTGTTTTGATGCCATCAATTTTGAACAAATAATGCACTGCATCCTTTCACAGAACTGCGAGATATTATTACAAATTCTCTAGTACACAGTTTATGTGTGCCAAAAAAATGATTTACTTCGTATCAAATGTGGAAGAGAAGGCACGTGTATTAGTTCTTCTTAAAAGGTTGCTCTCATTCTCACTAAAACGGATCTATTTTACATTGTTATGGTGTGAATTAAAAGTGTAAATCGACATTAATCATCAAGCCTGCAAACCTCCTGCTGTCGTTTTGTATCATGCTACTATTAGCTATTTGTTTAAGCGTGGAATTCATTGATGCAACTTCTATCATTCATTTGTGTGCTTTGATATTGCTTCGAAAAATTCAATGTGAAATGCCAATATTTCTTATCACGAATCACGATGTTAAAATATTTCCAAATAACTTGCATGTTCAAGGAACTCAAATCCCTATTCCATTATCTTCTCGAAGTTGTTGCTTAATTTAGTTTTGAAGTGATATCTTGTTAATAGGTTTGAATGCTGTAATGACTGGGAAGTGCCGTAAAGCTGTTTCCTGTATCAAAACAGAGCATCTTTAGGTGAAAGATGCCAATAGAGAATATTTGGAAATGAAAATCCAATGGCTACATCAATAACAGTCGTATAACACAGAAATGACATTACTGGCGCAGAATTGTACTATTGCTCTGTACATATGATTATAAAAAAGACATATAAATAACACAGAAAACATTAGATAATCAACTTTGATCATTTCGCATTTGATTGTGTGTCAAAATGATGTTAGTTCTAGTTTCATTTGGTGTTAAAATGCATATTCATGCAATTCAACTGTAATTGCAATTGATCACTGATGACAAACGATTATATATGTGTCATGATTGTGTTTTTTAATGTGTTACTTCTTCCGACTTTATTGAGATGTATTATTTTGTAGGTGTGAATATATCCCAAGGCATTCTAAACGTCGTAAAACCTGCTTTAGAAGAATTCTGAACGACTTCTTGTTTTTACTCTGTAGGCAGATAATATATTATGAAACGAACTTTCCCAATACAATTTTTTTGGCATAAAATCAAACTTTCTGTAACAATCTGAAATCACTTGTGGCGATCTGGTCACAAGTATTTCAATATTAAGTATGAATTAAGGGATCGTCAAATTGAAAAAGACAATATTTATGTCATGTCTCCTAAATAACCAATGACATTCATTCGTGCTTTAACAGCGCTGATTGTACCCAATTCACGCATTGAAAAGTTTGCTCCACTCTGGTTCGAAACGTTTACAATTTGATGCCAAGAATATATCTTGCGAAATCTGTGAAGAACACGCAAATAATATTCTTTGTATAAACATTTATTTAGCTCACATTAACACTAACTTTAACAAAACTGTAGAACGTAAATAAATACCTTTCAGGATTTAGAATTAAGTATATGTCAAAAAACTGTGTATAAAGATAAAACATATTTTCACGGGTTCAATTTTCTTATTTTTGAAAATAATATTTCATGGACATTTCAATTTGTGAAAAACATATTCAATAAATCTTCTTATACGTAACACTTCTGTAAACAGTTCATGAACATAGAATTTTGTGGACTAAGAGCACCTACGAAAGAAATGAAAATACTATCCCCACGAAAATTTATGATTTTACAGTATGTCAGCTGTACGGAAATATATGTATACCATTGTGTATTAATTCCAAGTTAATGAATGACTGATATGCCCATAAAAGTGAAATGAATTCCACATGATCAGAGATATTCACAGGCTTTCAGGGTGTGCAATATATCAATCGATACCACTTTGAGATAAGAGGCCGTTAAAGTGGTCTAGGTTTGCTATATTCTTTCTTACTGCTTTTTGATTTTGTCGATGATATTGTTTTAAAAATATCTATTATATACATGTTTGAAAAAAAATATTGATTACGCCGAGCGTCTGGAAAGGTACATGGAAAACAAAACCTCATGTAACAAAGGAGCATTCTGTCTTATTGACGACACTTGTATTTTAGGCACACATGAATCCTTCCAGGTCACTTAAAAGTTATGCAACATGTAGTGATAACAATGCCAGACATAATTCAGAATTTGAGATCAAGTCTGACACTAGGACAAGCAGAAACAACATATTTTTATATCACATCATCATATAGTTTTAACGGTATGACATATGAAAGCAAAATAAATGAGAAGAAAAAGTGGTTTCCGAATTCATGTTAAAAGCTTTCATTATGAATATGATGGAGCAGTATTTAACAAACAGTCCATTATCTGATATAGAAATAAATTTCTACATGTCTGATGTGGGAATATGGTTTACATTGAAAATGTCTTTGTTATACATGGCCGTAAATATGTGTAGGCATCAATTGATAATATAATCTAACTGAAAAAAGCGAACGACAATGTTATTAATTAAACAGAACTATTGAGAACCTGATAACAATACATGCAAAGGAGGTGAAGACAATTCGTAAAACTCAGAAAACCTGCTTTTTACGATTAAGTAGTTTGATAGGAATTTTTTCTCGTTGAATAAATTGATCATATGAGAAAATCATGGCTAAAAATCATATTTATCTTTCCATTGGTTATATCTATATTAGAATATTTGTATGTCAAGAAGGAAAGGAGAAAATATTTATTTAATCAATAGCATTTGATTCCGACATTGTTTTACCTGTTCTTTATTTTGTATCTTATATGTGCGTGTTCTTCGGTGAAATTGTATCCAGAATAGGGGTCAACCGCTTTGTTTACAGATATCCAGTGCCACGCGAAGGTTTGAGGTGTTTATCTGTAACCGTTGTTGTGTTTCTGAGAAAGTTGAGATCTCAGACTTTCTGAGTCCTTGTGTCCTTAAATGATGTAACTTTACCAAAATCGTTTTAGACGACATGCCTCTCGGGTGATGCTAACTTGAGTAGCAAGACGCTACTTCACGCACACGTCAACTCAAATCCATCAACAACAAATTCACTGATGTCAAATGTATTCAAAGCAGTGTTGGGTTATAGATGTTTATTATAATAATTCATTTATCAATGAAACTAATTCTTCTATTGTTTTGTCTTTCTAGACCATGCGGCCCTGGTGCAGAACGAATCCAAATATGACTCGTCTAGTTTACAAGGTGAAACAGATGCACTGACATCATCATGCTTATCACAGAATGACGTCTACTCCAACCTTAACACTTGTGATGATTCCATAACATATACCGAGAGTTTGGAAGTAGATGTCATCTACTCTGCGCCACCCCTTCAGGATTTGTATCGTTATCACGTGTTCTTCTCTCATTCCCCGGAAGACCAGTCATGGGTATTCGATATCGTCACCAGGCTCCAATCAGAACCCTACAACTACAGGTGCTACTACAGTGGCGGGAATTCCAACCAACCACAACCGAAATTTTTACCAAACGAATTATGTGCCGCCATGTTGAGCGAACGTGTGGTAGTTGTTCTCACGAGACATTACGTGAAATCAACATGGTTTGAATTCCAGGATGTACTTCAAAACTTAACACAGTGCAGTTTGTATAGACAGCGCATGCTCACTGTGCTTTTAAGGGAATGTTCCATACCAGAACCACTTCAAAATCTAGGCTTTCTGGATGCAAGAGAAAGTGACTTTTTCAGATGTCTGGTCCGGCATTTAAAGAGCGGTAAGTGTGTGAAGCATATAAAATCTAGAAATATGAAAAAAAAATGAGACATCACTTGTAATTTTATCTTCATTTTGTAACACCAAATCCATCAACTCATTTCTCAAACACATTATACGGTGAACTATGGATTCGCATTAAAACACGATGAAAAAGTATTACACATATTTATCTACATTATGTATAATTCATTCTTTCATCCAGATTATCCTTCATTATAGAAGTCTTTTTTTACTACGATTGTAATGTTCCAATAAAAAACAGGTAAGTGTCAATAATATTAACGTCAGCGTAACAACCATTCTATCACGGGAAGCGCAACAAGTCGTGCAATATGACGTTTGAAATGTGAAAGAGTGTCATGTGAACCATCAATGTCACTTTACAAAATCGGAAACTCCAACTGTAGTACTTCCTTATTGCATTACGTAACGCTGGGCGACCGTCTCCTCGTGAAAAGCAGACTGCGTAAACAATGCCAGGTCCTCGGTACATCTCAGGTACTCATCATAGTATGTGAATACATGGGTCAAGTTAATTAATTTCAATACGTTATCTGGATATTTGAAAAATAAGTTGTATCGAGTCAGAGTTATCATATGCAATGTAATTATTTCTTTGGTTTTGATTTTCTTTCTTGTTTTTCAGTTTTCGGGTTTATTCTTTTTCTGATCAATATACAGAAATATACATTATTTTCATGCAGCGATTTTTTTGTGTCACATTAATTTCAAAAAAGTTTTTTTTTCGAAAGCAGAGAGATTTTTCGAAGTATGATGTTTTCCTGGTACATTTCATATCTGATGTAGGATCAGAGAGTCTATCGGTGGATGTGAAGATGTTAATTTGATGCAGGGGAATTCCCACCTGTTGACTGTGATTATAGTGATGTTAATTTAGAGTAGAGAGTTGCACACCTATCAAATGCCATTACATGTGTACTACGTGTACCGCTGGTATCAATTCTCTGAAGTAGGTTAATTAAGGGACTAGTGCCCTTTCTGCTTCTACTGCAGATTGTTGTACACATGTTTGGTTAATGCTAGTTGATTGCTTGTGTGATGTCCATATTTGTTAAGGAACCATTGTTTTATATTTGCTGTCTGTATATTGATATTGGTTTTAATGTATTTATATATAATTCAATCCTTTTGAACACGTAGTTTCATTGGGAATTTGTTTTCGTCATTACCCACATAACATTGAAAAAGAGCATTACGTCATTTTGTAACGTAACGTTAGACATACCAATATTGCGTCGAAAGAAATAATCAAAGAAAAAGTACCAGAGAGAATGTCAAAATCATCGTGATAAACTTTCAATATATGTCATGTTATCGATCAATAACACAAAAATAAAGTATTCTTGCCATACATTTGTTTTCTTTGGAGTACATCTAAGTGTTTGCATTATGGTCCTATAATTTCAAAAGTATCCAAACATATTCTTAGGTTAGTCGGCTTTATGTATAATGTTATGTATTTGGTGCAGAGAGATTTTGACATTACCTTACTGTCTCTTATCAGCACCAATACGCTGTGTTAAGTAAGGGAACGTGTTAGTGGTTAATAGTCCTTCTGTAACGTTTTATTTAGACACGGACGATATTTAGCTAATTGGTTTTCGTGTCTCTATGGCACGTTCAAATACCTCACAATATCGGTGATGAAACTGATTTACTAAAACAGTTTGTGTTACCAATTAGTTCTCCTTGTGATAAATTGGTGTGTCACTTGTTGAAGCAACAGGGATAAGTAAAACACGGCGTTTACATGAGAATGAAGGGAAAGAGAACATATGACAGACAGTGATCGTGTATTTAACTGAATACTGACGACCTTCGAATATTCGAAACACAGGAGGAATTTTGATAGTGATCGATGAAATTTTTTTTTCAGATACGACAGCTTGAAAAGAATTAAGTTTTCAACAAGGTTATTAGTAAAAATGGATCTTTTTGAAGCCCATACTGTTACCTTCTTCCCTTAATCATATTTATAATTCCATGTCTGAAACATAAGTGATCGGGTAGCTCAATGGCACGGCACTCGACTTTCACATGGACATCCGTGTTTCGATTCCCCAAAAGGGCGTGATTAGGTAAGAGATCATCTGATTGACTCCCCATTAGGTTATTCATGGGTACTCTGGTTTCTGTCCATAGATAGACCCCTCGCGCACTTCCATCACAACATAAGTGAAATTTGGATTAATTGTTCAGATGTAATAAAATAATTCAGTTTACATTTGAAACAAGTGAAGGATACTATTTCTAGTGTATCCGTCGATGAAACCTGCCCGACCAGTACCAAATCAAAACCTATCATAATTTAAATTCTAGCGAAACGTCAACGTATGATGAGTGTTACTTCGTTTGTTCTAACATCCAAATTGATATACGGATACCTTCCCTTGTATAAAATACCAAAATTCATAATTTTTTGACGCGGAATCTCCTTTGGGTAACAGTTGGGTACCATCCGAACATCGCGCGGAAGGTCCATAACATTGTATCCAAAGTTATAAAGATAACAAATCGACATATGATGTTAGCTCCACGAGAAACACAATAGAGATCGAACCATTCACCTCGGATATCAGATAAAAATGTCTGAATCTCTGCCGAGCAATCTTGAGTGATTTTTAGATAAATAGTATGGATTATTTCTAAGTTTTCCATTGTGATGTCAGTCGTTGAGTAAGCGAATAGCGTCAAAATAATCAATTAAAAAAAACCGTTTAATGTAAGTTATTGTCTTTCTGTTTTTCAATTAGAGATCAATTTTATGTTAGTTAACGAAATAAAAAAGAGTCATAGATAATTGAAGGGAACTGCATACTACATTTCAATGGGAATCATTAAATATAGAGAGAGTATGAAGTACATACTCCCTCTAGTATTTGCAGGGAGCAATACGACAAATCCACAGAGGATGAAAAATGTTTTTTGCAGGATTATTTTTCTTTTGATCTTTTTTTCTCAAATTATACTTGTGCGTTTCGTATATGTCTTGAAATATCCTTGTTGTACCCCGACTTTTTGACCGAACAAAATATTTGGGGTATCATTTGCTCTCTTACTACTTTTGGATAAGTCAAAACCGTTTTCTCAGGATACAAAATAATAATTTGTTGACATGGTGGTGCTGATTCGGTATTCAGGGGTCTATTTTCATTATCATGATTTTCGTGCAAGATGTCGTCAGCAGACTGACAGACTCGTAACACAGGGTTTCAAAAGATACAGATTGACGAAAATTATGGAGAAGTTTTATGATTACCATAGTGGTGGTCTACTTTCTCTGTGCGATATAAAGCTGGACGTGTTAGCGAACCGTTAGTTTGCTTGTTGGTTCCGTTGTTGTATACCTTGTTCTCATTTGAGGACGAGACATTACTTATTTGATGGTCAAGGTTTACATGGCTGGTGTCATCGATGAAGCAGAAGGCGCTTACTCTTCCGGAACAGTGGGTGTTATCCTCCTTGTACTTGTTCCAGGAGTCTCCGTGTAAATCTTTCTTTGCCACATTGTCGAGAAAGGCCCTGAGAAAATAGTTTAATTGCTCTCCATATAGCACCGGAATAATTCTATAGAATTATCTAACGTAAATATTATCCGGTTTTTATTCAAAACGTTTTGCTTAATAGTACGTTGTGAAAATCATCAATCTGGTCTTATTTTAATTAAAATAAATAGCATGTCCTGTTTGTATCCTCTAATTACCAGCGCAGAAATGTAAATTAAAACAAATGTATCCTAGGGTTTTATTTGAAATAGTCAATCGATTTATTTTCATTCGTTCTTATTCCTTTTTTTATAAATTAAACCTTTTCGAAATAGGTCAAGGCAATTAAAAGCACGCCTTTATGATAATGACCTTATAGTTAAAATTATAAGAAGACTGATAATGATAAAGAAAAAGAATTGGATACGTGAGAGTCTGTGAAATCAAAGTAATACAAAACTATCCTTTAACAGCAGTCAATGAACAATGGATTCATAAATGTCTCATTCTCGATACCAAAACTCCAAGTACCCCATATTTTGGCATTGACTTCTTATATTGCATTTGTTGATGGTTCGATCTGGTGTAGAACTATTTTCCTACAAGTGTTATAACTTTGACAAAAAAAACCCCTGTTTTAACAATAGTAAAGTAAGGATCTCCAATTGATTTTAGTCAATAACGATTCATCAGAAGTCTAAATATTGGGGAAAGCAGAGAACTCGAGGAAGACACTCTTCATGAATAACGTCAAAACATAAAGATAATTCCGACGCCTTAGACTTAGCCCCAGTTGTCGTTGCGGGGAGAGACGATCAGGATATCAAGAGACTATCTAATACTGCAACTATTCGAATCGTTGAACATTTATCTTCTGTAGGAAAATAATGTGTCATAACGTTTCAAACAGAAAATAGAATAATTTTCAAAAAGTGAAAATGATTATGAAAACAATATATGTTTACTTATTTATCCATTGTAGAAGGATTGCCGAGAAGTTCCGAGTCTTTCAGTAGTGAAATGAGCTGCATCCTCTATTCCCCAACAAGTAAGTAAATAATGATTTCAGATTGTTTGTGGTTGATATCGTGTTTATCAAGGTATACATTGCTTATGTGTATCGGGTTCTTAAACAATTAAATGCACATGTTTGTGTTGCCAATATTAAGAGACTCTGTGTTTCTATTCCTTTTATAGCGGATTCCTGTTCGAGATAATTATCGGATGGTTATCTAATAAGGTTGTGTTCTAAAGCCACTAGACTTTCAATTGCCTCGTTGTATATATTTGTATAATATTGAAAACGTGCTCTCCAGCTTTAAAATAAACCAAAGTTTGTTTGTTAGTTGTTTTGTTTACTCGGCTCTGATGATGTTCTCTTTGAATCTATTATTAGACATCGAGAATGGACAACTTCTAGCCACTGTGCAGATAGACGTGGTTGGTCGCTGGAAGGCGCAACTTATCTGTAGAGACGATGACGATGTTCCTACTCCTCTCTGTTGTCATGGTGTTAGCGTATGTAATACATCTAATTATCATTAGTATGAATGGTGAAATAGTACCTTTTTTGTTTTTGTTTTTGTTTTGAACTAGGTTTTATATTAAACGACAAACGATCATGCCCATGCATAATACGTCAAACAACTGTTACAGATTTACATAAGACACAAACAAAGAACATCTTTCAACAAAAAGAATTAGACACAAGGGAGACACACTAACCAAATAATTCAGTATATATCACAGCTGTTATATATCTGATGAATTTCAGAACATCTGCATGAATGTATACATGGCATGTTACGGCAAAACTTGTGAACTAAATGTCGAACGGCAGTGTTTACTTGCATTTTCGAAAATTGAACGAAAGACACTCAAGAAAATAACACCTTTCAATATAAATTTGGAGTTAGATACCTTTGAGCAAATATAAACTTATCTTGATATGATAAAAGTCCTCATGAAATGATGATAAGATGGACCATTGTTTTTTGTTAATCTTCATTGTGTTATTTGCTGTTTTCTGTAAACTACGTTTGATTTGAACATGTGATCATCGGATTGCTTTTTGTGTTTCCGCAAGCATACCCGTTCTGATGCTGGAATGGACTGGATTTATTCATTCGATTTTTACGTTTTCACAAGATGCAATGACACGTGTGCCGTTTGAAGGAAGAAATTTTTCATTTTTTTTTCAATCGTCACTCTGAAGACTAAAAATTCATGTGCGGACCCGATTTTAAGAATTAAATCTGTTGAGACTTTTTCGCTCTGTATTAAAATTTTGATTACTTTTACTGTCTCTCTTGCTTCCCGTCTCCATGTCATGTGTCACTGCGAGGTCGCTGACAACAAAGAATGTCGTCCTAAATTATAAAACGAAACAAGAAATGTTGTGTAAAAATAAAGCAGCTCCGACCGGTGTAATTATCTGGAGATTTAATGAGACTTAAACCAGAAGCGGTCATGACGAATTCCGTGTCATTAGGAAATATTTGATTGGACGAATCACAATAGGAAATGGTTTAAGGCTGTCAGAAAATGACAACAAATTTCACAAGGCACGTTATTCCAATGACAGCTCTGAAGAATTTCCGGTAGCAGTATAAACGAGGCTTGGCAGGCAGGATGACAAATGAGCAACGTGGCAAAACGGGTTATGACACCGGCACCAGACACTTTCATGCAGTTTCATAATCCACCGGAAAATTACAGTCATGATATTGGAACGAGAATATAAAGAACTCAAATATGAATAGGAAGCGGATGGTTTCTTGTTTCCGACCAGATTACGTAATTCAGGTTGATGTTCGGCTCTAAGTGACACAGATCAAAACTTAAATTTGGGTCATGTGGAGGGTGATCACTCTTAGTGGTAAACGCCGAAAGCAACTTTCACAGCATCAACGACGTATGTGTACTATTTGTGAACAACAAATCTGTGTATCATTTTTGATAATGCCACATATTGTAAACATTCTTTTGTTTCTCCTCTCAACGTAAGTAGCAAATGAATATGTTTCGTAAGAAATTCATGTGCATGATGAAAGGGGAAAATCATAAAATATATAAAGATAATTCGCAGAAGTTAGCCATAGTTTGCTACTTTGAATATATGCATGGCATGATAGTAATTGTATATCATTTTTGAATCAACCATATTTTCTGTTACATGGAGAGATATCAAGTATAATATCAGACGTTTCCAATAGAATCAGATTTACAGATAGTGGCCATTCTTGCCATCATCTATTTGCCAAAATTGATTAAAAATAATAAAACGGTCCCATTATCGATGTCTGCAGTTATTAGAACTTATACAAGTCTATTGGAGTGTGTTAAAATATGTAGTCCAACATTTTGAATCACAGGACGATCAAACAGTGTTACTCCAGCAAAAAAAGTTGATATAACACATAGAAAGCAAAATCAACATTCTACACTGAGTTCTACGCTTTGGTTCGATAGAGCGGCGGCCTTATATTGCCTTGGAGTGTGTTTGGTGACCTTGTTCAGTAGTCTAAGTATCCATAGGATCAATAACTTAGCCAAGAGACAGCTTTGTATCAAAATCACAAAGTGGAAACTGTTGTTCTTGGTGGACAATTATTTGATCATGCAACTGAGACTATTTGCATTTATTTTGAGTGCAAATAAAACACTGCCGACGTGTCATTAACAATTTGATAATCTTATTGTACTTCAAATACTTCAACGACATCGATCCTGTCAACATTTGTAAGTGTATGTATTCTTAAGTGTTTGTATGTAAGCTTTTATGAATCATGGTAGTTCCGTCTATTGCGTAACCTGTTTTTTTCATTAAACGAATAAGACTGATGCCTTGTCGTCGATTTGTTAACTAAAACGTTGTAAATTCGAAGATAGGGGACGTCAATTTCAATAGCGTATCAGAAGAATCTGTCATGTTGATATTGATCAAAATTTATATTTAGTTCAAAGTCACGACTTTCTTGCTTACGTCTTTTAGCATATTGATTATACTAACGATACATAAACAGTTAATAAAGTGTATCAATCAGCATTAACGTAGTTGAATGTTTTAACCAACCAATAACTACCTTTACAAAAACACAATTTCGTCTTTATTATATGCATTTCACTTTACCAATCAAACATAAGATTATACAATAATTCTTCAAGTGGAACACTTTCAATATCTATGTTACCATCAGGCAGACTATTATCATATCTTACTTATTCTGTCTTCATGGAAGCTAGCTTGAAACATCAATGAAGTATGACGTCGCAATTTGCGAGATATTATAACTGATATGTCTGAATACTAATATTCTTGTTTTAACAATGTTCATAAAAATATTATGGAAAGCCCAAATGTCGAGCAAAACGTTTTTAATAAGTATGTGTTTGTTTTACAGATGAGTTACGGAGAATTTATAAACATACTTCAGACATTGACTGGTCCGACAAATGATGACAGGATGTTCAACTTCCTGTTCTCGCTTCGACCAATCCTGATCCTTCTCGTTGCAATAGGGGTGTGGCTAGCCACCTTTATTTTTATACTTATATTTCTCAGAGATGAATCAAAAGAAAGTAAGTATCCACAGTAATTGTAAATATGTCCTTGTAAATTATGCTAATGTCAATGTAAATTGAATGAGTTACTTCCCTTTGATATATTTCATAAATAAAATTAGATTCAAACGATATTAATGATACATTTCATCTACAGGCTATTTAGGTTTCCCTCAGACGAAATGATATTGTTGTTTCCTACTTTACGCGTGGTACGTTCTTTCATTTCCTGGCATAGCAATCTTCTTTGCTATAAGTATATAAAAGTGGTATATACTACACGAAACTGACAACCAATTTCACACAGCTACATGTGTCCTGATAGATATCAAAACCAACGATGACTCAATAATAAAAAAATAAAAAAACATTTTGCGTGACGACAAATTGTTCTCATATTGTCATTTAGATTTGATTTAATTTTCCACTTGCCTACACTTACACGCAAATACCTCATGATACAATGTCAACTTTTTATTCAATGTCAACTCAGTTAAATATACGTAAAATGTCAATCTCGGTATCATATGAATCAGTGGTAGAAAACGCTATCCTGAGTATGCATTGAAGAATGTAAATCCGTACTACGTCCTTATCCCTAATATATCACATGTAATACTCATCAATAAGACAATAAATCAATACGTTTGGATATATAAGATAATAAAGCGGGCGGCCGCATTTTTTACATGCTTATGCACATGCTGTATATTATTTTTGTCACAACCTTTCTAAACTCATTTTTTTCGGCTCGTATCTGTTTTATTACATAGGTGCCTTGGGTGTCAGACTACCCGTGTTTTCTTTGCCCATGCTGTTTGTACTGTACGGATATGGCATTCGATGGAAACGTCAGCAGCAAAAAGACAGGGTTCGTTTTTCTAATTAATAGCTTGAAAGCATATCATACACTAATATAATGTATCAATAAATACTAATTAAATCCCATCTTGTTTCTGTTAATTGAATTAATGTTATTGTGTTGGCTGTACATATGCTAGATGTGCATGTTCTCTCATTTACTTAAATTGTGAAAATAGTTATTCTTGCGTTATTTCAGGCAAACAATAATCAATACTATGAATTTTGCATAATGTGTTTTAAACTCTAAATCTTTACAACTATACGAATATGACAACAGAAAAGAAAAAAATCCATGTAATAACAGACCAATCCCAAACAGGTGATGGAATATGCAACTTTTCAGCAAAGAACAAATGAAGAGCAATAAATATCTTAATTGTATCAAAAGCTTGATGTTTTGCAACATGAGATAAAATTTTATAAATTATTTTTTTAAATAACACAATTTACATAAAAAGGTTTAGATAGGCAGGTTGAATGCCAATAGATGTATGTAAACAGAAAGAAATAACCATTGAAAAACAGGGAAATACCTACATGTAAATATAATCAAAATTCACACTTCAATCAAACTAGGGCAAAATATACACAAAAGAAACATTTACACTGATACTCCTGATAAAGTGCGAGAATACATGCAAAGCTGTGTTTGCTAGAGCAGTTAATCTATTAGGAAAATGAAATCTAAAAAAATAAGGTAAAAATGATTTTTCAATATATATATATATATACTAACAAGACAACAGTCCCCCAGGTAAACGTAAATAAGTTGTTGTCATTAGAAGACGTCACAATATAATACATTCACAAACATAAGGCTCTTAATCATATAGATAATTTATAGAATAAATGCACTCCTAGACAATATGACCGTTTTCTTAGGTTTTACTTATGCTAACAAAACCCGACGGTATACATATTCTCGATAGTATTTCAAATGAATCCCATTTTTGATACTGATACACTGTCCCGATAGCTACACATTTGCGCTTTGTCTTTGTTCTCTTACGAGGATTGAGATAATACCCCTATTTATAGGTAGTAAGACGTATGATCAATGAAACGATAATGGATCTGTCTGGTTGATTTAGACAGGTGTCACCGTCCTCTGTGTACTGTGTGGTATTGATCAGACACCTCCAGTAAACAGGGACATGAGTTAATCGTATGACGGGCAGAAGGTCCTAAACCTGACAATACACATGTCTATTGTATTATCAAAAATACTTAAATCCTTGTAACACTTTCGTCTCAAGTCTGTACCTATATATTACTTCAAATAGTATTCAATACGATGTATGTATAGTAATATGCTACCATACGCTAAGCTCTACTTACTCAAAGCTTTGTTAAAGTTAACCAGTGTTGAGAGTTTTTTTAGGTGTAAGTTATCAGGAATTTAGAATATCCTGTATCATGTCACAGTAGTAATATTTTTGTAGACAGGTTAGGCTGATATCTTGAAAGTGCCAGCTTTCCTTTAAAGCTTCTTGTTTTTTTTCTCGGCAATTTTTTCACTTACCAATTTTCTCGCATTTCTGGTAAGATTTTGAGGTCATACGCAACAAATTATAACTCATTCACGACGCATTTATTGCGTCGTCAGTATTGTTTATTTGATTTAAGTACATGGTAGTAAGATGCCTTTTCCTGTGATTTTTAGTATTTCTCCTTCACTTTTAAAGCAATGTTTAGCAATACAATTGTCCATTGAGTGTATGCACTGACTTTGCATTGGCTTCCAAAATAGATCAATGTGCTTTTCTGATGCAGTTATGACGTTTTTATCAAGATAAGGATTTTTGTCAAATGAAAGTCTGTCTTGCCAAATTCCTAATAGATTCTATGATTCTTCTTTTGATCTAATGATACTGCGCTATATATAGGCTGTTTATATCACATGCCTATAGGTATGGCGTATTTGTCTAATTTGCCGCTCTGGGAATTCTGTAGCGATTCGAAACTAATTTGAAACAGATTTCCCAATTTAAACGTTTTTTCTTACTATTTGTAATATTGATGTTTTAAGCTTGGCGTCTTCATGATGAGACAGATTGTCATTACATGGACTCATGATAATGCTGCACAGAGGAAATTGTTCTAAGGGAGAAAACGTTGTTTAATAAAAAAAAAAAAAAACCACACACACAAAAACTAAACAAATAGTTGAAAATCCCCATGTTAGATTTAATTGACTTTGTAATACGGAAGAGCGAAGCAGATCAGTTAGTGAATAATCCACATAGCAGATTTCAAAATTTCATTTTTTGACAATTCATGTCGTTTACCGTAAGGTAAAATCATGTGAACACAAGACCTCACAATGAGAACATGATTTTCCTGCAATATTTTAAAAGTTTAAACTTAAACCAGAATATATACTTTTCATGCAAACGAAATATTACGTGTTTTGACAAATCGATGTTATTTCGACTTCCTTTTTCAAATTTTGTTTTGTTTCTACCTGGCTGATCAATTTAAACAATGAATATTTATAATAAGCTAATAAAGCAGGTCAATAAATTACACCGCAAAAGGGAAACAGATACTTATCACTTGTGTTCAATGCCTTTGATGTACCATTTTCGTATCAATGTTGACTGCCTTTTGTCATTGTAATATCCCTTTGAATTTTGTCTTGCTGTGCCTTTGCCGTACCTTTGTGCGTTCATTGATAGAACTTGCTGTACCATTATCGTACCTTTGTGCGTTTATTGATAGAACTTGCTGTACCATTGCCGTACCTTTGTGCGTTCATTGATAGAACTTGCTGTACCATTGCCGTACCTTTGTGCGTTCATTGATAGAACTTGCTGTACCATTGCCGTACCTTTGTGCGTTCATTGATAGAACTTGCTGTACCATTGCCGTACCTTTGTGCGTTCATTGATAGAACTTGCTGTACCATTGCCGTACCTTTGTGCGTTCATTGATAGAACTTGCTGTACCTTTGCCGTACCTTTGTGCGTTCATTGATAGAACTTGCTGTACCATTGCCGTACCTTTGTGCGTTCATTGATAGAACTTGCTGTACCATTGCCGTACCTTTGTGCGTTCATTGATAGAACTTGCTGTATCATTGCCGTACCTTTGTGCGTTCATTGATAGAACTTGCTGTACCATTGCCGTACCTTTGTGCGTTCATTGATAGAACTTGCTGTACCATTGCCGTACCTTTGTGCGTTCATTGATAGAACTTGCTGTACCATTGCCGTACCTTTGTGCGTTCATTGATGGAACTTGCTGTACCATTGCCGTACCTTTGTGCGTTCATTGATAGAACTTGCTGTACCATTATCATATTTTGCGGGTTTTGGTCGCTATGTATATGAAATCTCTGCTATCTATAAACTGATATCATCTGTTTGTTATCAATTCATACTTTTTCAGATTGTAAAGTCGATGCTTCTTTACTGTGTGACGTTAAATGAACGTTTGTACGAGTCGGAGAGGCCGGTTTTACTAACAGTCACATCAGCCAGCAAAGGAGTGTTTTCTGTATCCTTATACATACATAATCATGTGAAGTAGAAGATTGTACAAGACACGCAAGTGAATAGAACCTTTAAATACAATTTTAGAGTTAGATACAGCAGACCTAAACAAGTAGTTAAACTATACCACAGTTGTTTAATTCTTCTAGGACTTTGCAGGGATGTTAATAGAGTTTCTGGAAGCCAAGGAGGCCAAAGAAGACAATCGAAAGGAAAGAAACGTCAAAACATTTATGGAGAGGAGCACTACTTCCACACAATGTCATATAGCTGCTTATTGAATCGGTCAATTTTGTTCGATTTTGTTAAGATAACCGTGAAATTATATTATAACGAACGAAATATTGAGATTGAATGTGAAAGAACATCTTATACATAAGTCTCTCATTATTTTACAGATTCAAATTTTACGTTCATGTACAGTGAAATGCTAAAAATATTCCCGAGAACATTACCGGCTTTTCGGTATTTCAATCGAGACATTTATTGAATGACAATCGGGATAGAAACTGTAAACCTAATTTATCTTCATTTTAATAGGATATTGAGCTACTAATCTGTCAACATCAATCTCAAACATTCAATGTTAGGATGTTCGTTCGATATTTGTTTAACCAACAGATTGAGCATTTTATAGGACACAAAAATTTCGAAGCCGGATATGTTTTTTTTTTTTGATAGATCAGCCAATTTCAATAGTAAAAAATAAGAATTTGCAAAAGTTTTAAACATGCCTTCCCAATCAGTGCGGACGTTTTGGGTGATTTATATGGTTAAGCAGTGAATTGGAATACTCTGCGATGTCATTTATTGTCGATATAAATGGCAACACATAACAGTATCTTCAATCAGGATTTGTCCTGAATATTCCGTATTTATAAATATTCAGATTTGAATTGATATAAATTTGACGAAATTGCGTTACCACTTTTATTCCTTATCCATACTAAGATACATTTTTTGTATTTTTGTGTTTTCGACTGTGTGGTAAGTGCAACGTTGTAATTTCACCAGAAAAAAAATCCTACAATTGTTGTGTACATGGAAAAGAAAAGTAATGTCAAAATGTATCATAAAATCAATTGATATATCGTATTCCTGGGCAAATATCAAACATTATTATCTATTTACTTGTCTATTTATCTGTTTATTTATCTAAAATTACTTACCTCATACGAATCTTTCCTGTGATCGCCGTTATTGAATTTTACACATTAATGATGTCTGAACCAAAATTATTAACATTGAGATGTATAGTATAGAAGTACTTCAATCACATTGCTATAGAGTAATAATCCAGATGTAGGTCTTTAATGTTCACGTTCTCTTGTACAACGGAAACAAATGTTTATATCTTATAATGATTATATTCCAAAACTTACTCTAAAGGAGCTTAACATTTTTATTTTCAGGGAGACGTTGACTTATTGCTGAACACTTACATGGAGGAAGATGCAGAGAAATTTGCGACCCTTATAGAGTTGTATACCAAAAATCAGGACTATGTTATACAGGTGAGTACCAAATAAGATATACAGTGAAGTAGCTTATACGTAAAGAGCGTATATACACTATTATGGGATAATTCCTTTACACAACAATTGCTGAAATAAAGAACACAGACCTATGAAGCAAATCTTGATCGAGTATGTAACGAAATAAAGTAATTAGTTTTTCGAAGAAAACGATTGCACAAAAACATAAATGTAAAGCATTTTTTTTTTAAAGATTTGGTTAATATATGCATTAAAGTATAAATTAAGAGTTTAAGGGCCTTTTTGGCTGTTTCCTCTGCTAAAACCTCATCTGTGAAGAACCAGAACTAAAATTAAGCAAAAGCGAAACCGTTAAAAATGCCGTATATGACAACCATGTAAACAAATTTGATGATTAAACTTATTTTGCTATGGTGGCCAATTTCGTGGTGTGATGAGATTGTCTGAGACAGATTAAGGACATTGGACGTGTTTTGAGAATCGACTTAATTCAGCGACAATTTAAAATGTCCAAGATAAGAATAGAACCTTAGGTATATAATAATCTGCCAATAATGTCGCCATTATACAGACTATTGGGAGACGTTCTTTGAAAACAAATGTAGTTATTGGTTTTGCAATAGAATCGATATCATTTAATGTGTTTTCCTTCTGTTTCCTCCGTGGATCAATCTTATTTTCATGTGCATTTCTAATACTATTGTCAAACTGTCTGAAAATGCGATAAATAAAATCTTCCTCAGCAGCTAAGCTGACGTTTTGCAATCTCTGTTGCTTCATTGCCTTGGGTGATCGACAAATTCTTCCTGTTCACACAGCACGCACCTTAGATCTGTCACATAACAGATGCTGCTTTATAGTTTGAATCTCTAATTGGGATTTTGGATAAAGATAACCAAGGGCTTTGGCATGTTTCAACTGTAGATTTCGTAGAATATTCCTATTCTCTGTCGAAATCGAACCGATAGACCAGACGCATTGCTTTGTTCGTTAAAGCTAGTCTGTGGTATGGACGTTAAAAGAATCCAGAATTCTTTCAGAACTTGTTATACACCAGTCTAAAACAACAATAGCTTCGGCTTTATAGGCAATTAGCAGACATACATACAAGTATACAAATTACATACTTGATATTGATTCTAAGCTGTTGTCGCCAACATGTCGGTTTGGCATTAACACTTAACGCCAGTACCGGTTTCATTACATGTATAAAGTAATTCAATTGAACCGGAGTCAACAAACAATTCCATGCCTAACAAAGCGCTTATCAATTCAAACACCATAAGAACTCTTAGTGTCAGTATTAAAACCCTCTGAAATAAAATGACTGTGATGACAAAACACACTGTGCGGTCATTGTATACATAACTGTAATTTCCTAACTAAGATTATAAACAATTGCCTACGGGTAATGCAGTAACCGCAGTGGAATGCCATCATTGGAAATTCGTTACTGCACAGTCGCTAAAATATTTTACTAAGTGTTTAGTATCCTTAACAGTTTAAATCCTTCCAAATGTTCAATGCCGTTTCTATTGCATTCAGAATTAATTTCTTACTCTCAACGTTTTGCTGACAATGAACAACACTTTTCACTTTCTGTTCATTCTTTGTTCTTCTTTCATAAATATTAGATTTTGCTAATATTTCCTGTATTTTCGGAAATTCCTGAACTTTACTTTATACCTGGGATTCGTTGTGATCTGTCTTTGCCTTTGAAACCCTTTGTGTTGCCAGCTCATAAATGTCGCCAAAGTTGTAATGTCGTAAATAATGTCAACAGAATGAAGTTTCTTTCCTTCATTAGAAGTCGAAAATTGAAAATGATAAATGTTAGCATTGAACTGCTTTAAGTTGGCATTCATAGGCATATGAATGCTCATGAATGCTAACTGAAAGCAGTTCAATACCTAAATAAGCACGATGTTACGATGATTTAAAGGGCTAAATTGTTGCATTGTTAAATGTTGTATTCATTTCTTACCAGTGATATCGATGTCTTTTTCATGCAGGGCACGATGGCAGAACGATTATGTGTGATGTTGTCTTCGTCCTACTTACATCGAATGCTTCAGAAACAGCTCCCCAAGTCCTCTCAACAACGCCATACAAACCACACTTTCTGTCTTTGTCAATTCATCGAAATTTTTGTTGAGGACTTCTTTGGGTGCCTTACAAAGAAAAAACTTGTGAAGGACCTGCGTCTAGTGCTACACAGACATCTTAATTTTTTTATCAAGAAAGAGATCCTGCGTGGATACGAGGACAAATTAGCGATCACTGAAGACTTCAGTTTCATCTCTACAGCGTAACACTCGATATAACAGTATTGCACATAAAAGTTGTATATATTTTGATATGTTTTGTGTTATCTATTTATTTATTTTGTTGTTATTGTAACAGATGTCTTTCTTCTGATGATGATAAATAAATCGGGTTAAAGCGCAGTAAGTCAACTTTTGATTTGCTTAAAATGTTTGAAACGTGCTCAGTTGTACAGTTGTATTTCTGATGGAGTAATGTAAATCTCTTGGATAAGAGAGGCATTTTATTGAAATATGATAAGATCTGGATTGCCGAACATATCGCCACACAAAGAATGAATAATATTCAATGTATCTAGTACAATACTAAAAACAACAAAGAAAAGTCAAACACAAACTCAATGAAACAATATAATTATAGCAGAAAGATTTACATGAGATTCATGAGAATCACATCAAGTCTTCCGGACAGGTATTTGTCATCTACTTCATCGACGATACCTGCAATATTAAATCAGTATTAGTAAGTAATGTCACGTTCCCAATTAAGAACATGGGAAACAACAACGTAGCAACAAGGCATACTAACGAGCTTAAAACACGTTCAGCGTCATATTGTACAAAGAAACAGAATAGTTCTCAATGAAATCATTACGACGACCGGATAACTGTCCCACTATCTCCACGACCTGCATTTATCAAACTCCTGTGTTATTTAGTTGCCGAGTTATCAGTCAGTTGCCGACACCTTGCATCAAAATCGTGATATTGGGAGCAGTCCCTATAAGATCGAAGAACCTGCAGCATATAAACACCATAAAATTGGAGTATTAGAATGCTGCTATCTAGATGTGGAAAGTCACCAAAGGGAAATAGAAATCACCATGCATATTACAGTTTCATGGAAAGCTCCACCTGTTGATTTTCAATTAGGAAAAGATCGAGGGAATAACCTTGTCATACATACGATGGTCTATAAAAAAAGAAAAAAAGTCAACCAGGAGTGGGTCACCGTTTGTTCACAAAGGTATATTAATATACTGCTGGAAGATCTTACCACCAAACTCGACAAAGAAGGGCTTCTTAAGTAGGTGTTTTGTACAAGAAACAAATCAATGCCTCCATTACGTAATATAACAGGAACATGTGATACATTCAAATACAGAAATATGAAACTAGGCTGACGCATGACTCTTTAAAGGATTTAATTATTTATGATATAATAATACATATTACCTTATAAGGATGAAGACATACCTTTTATATAAAGCTGACAAACATTAACTTCAACTGCAAAACATTCTAGTTTGCTTTCCGACATTTTCGTCATCCATTCAGGGGAGACTATTCTAACAGAAATGAGAAAAAACATACAACGATTCCACTAAAAGGGAAATAGGTTAAAAACCGTCAATCAATTCCTGTGAATGCATTGCTTAAAACATCACAAAATAGATCACCAGTTCATATTGTTCAGCCAATTCCTGGAAAACCACTAAATACAAAGGAATTCACAAAACATAATATCACAGTTAATGAATATCACCGCAGTGTATGATCTGGAAGGTAATTGATGTGAAGTACTTCCGCAATGTGATAGCCAGTCTATCGCTTTTGGTTCCAATACACTGAATTTATCAATATATCTTGCGAATACCACACTGTCGGCAGACGTGTTTAATCAACATTACGATATAATTATAGTGCTTTGTTCACAGACAATACTTTTGGTTTTTAGTTATAAGTACATCTGAGTGACGGGGGAAGATAACAAAAACATCAAGAAAATACCAACATAGCAACAAAATCATAATCCAAACTCGAATTCCATAGAATTATAGCAAAATACTAGCAAAAGACGATTAACGTAGAATAAGACCCACTGTTCCGGAAGAGTAAGTGTCTTCTTCTTCATCGATAATGTATACAATAACGGAGCCAACAGGCAAACTAACGAGCATCACACGCGTTCTGCTTCATAACACACGAGGAAATATAATATTTCGCAATGAGCTCACTATGTCGACCATAAAACTTCCCAATAATTTTCATAAACCTGGATTTTTGAACTCTTGTGTTAGAGTTTGTCATTCAGTTGACGACTTCTTTGACGAAAATATTGATAACGTGAACAGGCCATTTATATCGAATCAAATGAGACATGTAAATACTATAGGTTGGAGATGCAGTGATATTGTTATTCAGAAATGGAAAATTCGAAATAAGGAAATTGAAGTCATAACGTTTATCATACAGCTTGATGGAAAGCTGTCCATATTGGTTTGGTTGTAGGAAAAGATCGAGATAATGCTACGTCAATTAAAAAAATCGAAATGCAATGATTGAATACATATTCATTTGGCATTTACTAAAACCATCTTCTTTCTTGGTTAATATAGGTATCCAAGTTATCCAGGTATCCGGGAATAGATTAATTTGTTTTAGGTCATTTAACCTGAAAGGCCAGTTTATCGCAGTTCGATCTCCCTCGTCGTCTCTCGTGCGTTAGCTTTTTGTATTTTGAACTTCTCATGTTCTGTGATTAAGATTAGATTAACCTTGTGTAAATGACATTGAAATGGTTCTGACAAGGATTTGTTATTTCTAAGGTCAGTTCAAAATCCAATATGACCTCTATGATCGAAACAATCTCGAAAAACACATTTTAAATGTTTCCACTGCTGCCACTTAGCCGAACCTTTGTCGAAAATCAATATGGTAGCTGTGGTGGCGATCTTTTAAAAAAGGTTTCACTCTTGCCATTGACCTGAATTTTTCTGGAAATTTAGAGAAAATGAAATTATAAACGTCTTTACCTTTACTGCTGCAATACTGTTTTACCCATTTTATTAATGTCACTACCATCAGTGCTGCTGTTACAAAAATATATAAATCTTTATAGTTAGGTAACAGGTAAGGACCATGCGTCTTTTGTTGGGAATCCTGTCTAATTAAGTGTTCTAACGACAGTGGTCAGCTTTAACAGATTAACGTTAATTCAACGTTAATGCACTTACTTGGATGCAGATATCAAATATTCCAAAGAATGTATCTAAAATATGTCTTTAACATTTAATTGATTGCCATATAATTACAACTTATTGATGAATAATTAAGATACACAAATGTGTTTGTATTTTTCATTTTCAAAGAAATGGAAACAATAACAACGTTGTGATGCTAGAAAGATTATCTTTGTGATCGGTTTTATTTTGAGAGGTTAAGGCATACTTTAGAAGTACGTTTGATCTAAACCGAAACATTATCCGCATGAATTAAAGTGCCAGATGCAGGAAAAGGAAATTATCTTGAAGTTAAAGTCCACAAAGGTAACATTTATTACATAAAAACTGCTATACTATTATGAACAATCGGCGTCATGTGCAATACATACGCTTGAATAGACACGCTGTTACATGCTGGCCTCTCTTCTAGTATCAGCACTGCCATTCTAGAACAGACACGTAATATAAGGTGAAGCGGCTTTATCTTGTCTCATGACAATATAAATTGACTTGCTTTGCCAGCATTTCCTTCGTAAATTCAAAGTAATGGCGATGTCACTCTTGTAAAGCAAGCGAGCATGGAAGTTGAATCGTCACTTGGGGTAAAATAATGTAATATTCAAATACTAATATAAAAAGTCTACGCCAAATAACGTCACTATCATTACGAACTTGATGTAATAATCAATTATAAAACATCAAACATCCCCACCTTACACATCAATATAGGATATATTAAATTGAGTAACGTGAAATACTCCTGTATTAAAAAAGAGAAGGCTTTTTATGGTCGTTACATTTTACTGTTAAACTTTCGGCGCTGTCGACACTGGCTTAATTACATATATCACCGGATACTCTAAACAGTAACTGATTGCTAGCAACTGATTAAGACAATTAGAATATGCCGCCATTAAAATAATTGTTTCTGGGTTGGCTGGAATTCAGGTAAAGTGTTAACAATGGAAAAAATACGTATTTCAAAACGCTTTCGTCTGGGCTGATAGGAGATATAAAAAATCGATGGCATTTACGCACACTTCATAAATGAAAAAATGGACATTAAAACTGATTTCAAGTCTTAGTCCAGATGTATGATTCCAGGAAAGATAATGCATAGGAATAGAGAGAAAAGCAGTATTTTACATCCAACACAATGAAAAAATATTATTCTGAAAAATGTGAAACATCACATTGTCCATTTCAACATACAAAGATCAAATTTTGGATGGATTTGTTTAAATTTTTAATCAAAACCTTTACAATGGGGTAATCTAATGAACAAAAATGTCACCCATGGCCACACCGAGAAACTGTTAACTCATATTAGGGGATACAATTGTTATAACATTCAGAAAATACTGTGTGGAAAAAACAAAACAAACACTTGCATGTCTACACATCGTTGGCGATATCCAAAATTTAAATATGTAATAATGTTTTTCCTAAAATGAAAATTAACATAAAGGATATCAAAATTATAACGCTTACCATGTAGATCGGTTGAAAATTGTTCCTCTTGGTTTCGTTGTAGGACGAGATCGATAAAAGCGGCAGAGGAAGAAAATTCTTTTGATGGACATGTTCAACAAAGATAAGACCTGATCAATACATTTAAAAGTGGAATCGAATGACCTGACAAGGTCTTTGTGTCCTATGGGAGCACATGATCGGATTTGAATTACAATACTAAATTGCTGACTTTATCATTCTATCTTAAGACGTTGTATAATTGGCTTCGTAAGACATCACATTTACGGTAGCAACATCCTTGGCTGATATTATACACCACAAATGCTGTCCTGTTAGATATCGTAAACAATGAGACTAACACATTGTTATACCTCAAACAAGATATAATCTATCATGAAAAGAAAATGACGATGAATTATTATATGCGACGGACTCTGTAGACGATGGTTGGTATTGAAATTTAATATTCTTTTTCAGAATACAAGCCATTTAGATAATTTTTTGTATTAGGTATAAAAAAGATAAGTTTATTCAGAAGACCAGACAGCATTTATCAACACATTAATGAAA